TTTATTTTGTCATTTATTTGAGTTTTAAAATCTAGGATGTGACAGATTATTTAAACAAAAACCTTACGTTCATCGATGACTTTTCCAGGTAAAATGTATTAGAAATATCTGGTTTAATTCCCCCTCCAGTCCTGTAGAATTTAAAAAACTTAAACTTGTGGACCAGCTCAGTAGTAGTTGGATGTAAAATGCTGAACAAAATAATATCAGTAAATTGTGGCACACTGCTGCCACCTAGTGGCCTCAACAGATATTACAGACGAATCATTGTAATGCAAGAAACAGAAGGATGGACATCAGTCTTCTATCCTGCCCTATCTGGCCCACGGGCCATCGTTTGCCCATGTCTGCTTTATGGGAATCACCCAAGCGGTGACTCTGACTCATCTGCCATCATGCTATTATTATCAAATCGTCATGCACACACGTAGGAAAGAACCTCAAGCCTTTAATTCTTTCCAGTGTGTTGCCTGTGTGGAATATCCCCGACGACATTTTAATTACAACCTCAGTTGAATCGAGTCAACAAGTAAAAATACACACTGATAATCCTGGTTTTTGTTTTTGTTTTTGTTTTTTTGTTTTTTTTCTTTTTTTAATCAACCGATGCCTGTTGTCTGGTGGAGGTCAAAGCCTGTCCTCTGGCAGCGGATCATCATACCTCATTTAATGGTCAAATAGTTTCTGATTGTTACTGAGTGAGTGGTTTTAAATAGGATATGTCTAATAGAGGCGGCACAGAGTGGCCCACTCACAGCTGGCATCGGTCTGAATACCACGGAAAAGGTTGTGGGTGAAGCTTTAGCTGCTGCCTTCACTGACCATCTGACCTTTGAGGCTGTGGATCGTAACACAGAAGAAACACGTCGACTATGAATGAGTTAAAAAAAATAGGGCCTGCAGCTCGGGGTCAAACTGTGACGAAGTTACCTGGTACCGATTCTGTCAAAAGACTCAGTTTAGATCAGGGGTCCCAACCCCAGGTCCAAGGACCGATACCAGTCCATAGGTCATTTGTTGTCTTTTTTTTTAATAGTAATTTACTTCATTCAAAGATAATCTGGCAACATTTCAAAAATAATTTGTCATCCAGACTCCGATACTAACAGAACAAAACTAAAAGTCATTTTATTTTGAAAATTTAACAATCCTCCAACAATCTGCACGGCAATATTAGTTTAGAATATCGGCCAGTATTTGGTGGACTTTTTTTGAAAATGGTGGTGGTTCCCAAAGAAGGGGGCGATCCTCCTAAGGGGGCGCAGAGCTGTTACAGAGAAGACGCAGAAAGTCAAATAAATTTCAATTTCAAGATTTGTCTTCTTTGGGTCACATTGGGAACATCTGGGTGATTTAGATTTTATTTTATTTTTTTGGGTGGGGTGGCAGTTTGGTATTCGCCATCTGTAGCCTTTTAGCTTTCTTTAATTGTGAGGGGATGATGTAAATTACCATGAGATTTTTTTTAAGGACCTCTTCCCCTGATCCAGAGCTCATCACTGACTCATCAGCTACGGGAGGATTATAACAGACAGTTGACAGCATTAATACAGACTCCTTACCTTTGCTGTCAGTGCCCTCACTCTACCTACATGGTTTC